ATAAAAAACTAAAGTATAAACTGCATCGCACCATCAGTATACTTACTATACTCTATAATAAGCTGAGTTACTAACAGCAAGTAATACATTACAATTTTACCTCGTAAAAATTCTATAATATGCTTCCATCTAAACCTTATTCTCTTACATCACACGAGCATATACCGTACTATATACTGCCATAGATAAACCCAACATTAAATTATATACTGTATTGCTGTAAACCAACCTATATCTTATACATTTAATATCACACTATGTATTATTCTACACACCCTAATGTGTATCGAAATGGTTTATTACGTCCTTCCAATGATTGCTGAGCCAGAATCCATCTTCTCGGTTAAAATTGTCTCTGTGTTTGTATATGTGGATCGCCTCATGAACGAATCTCTCATGATAGCCAGATGGCTTGCAGAGAACCTCTGTCTTGGAGAAGTCAATATCATGTGAGCCCACTGAGTTGTAACAGTGATCTGCCACGGCTGAGGTGTTAGTCCTACCGTGTTTCAGGTCAGCTTTATGTTCACGGATGCGGTCCGAGACATGTCGTTTGGTTTCACCAATGTAACTGCTACCACAGAGGCAACTTAGTTTGTAGACGCCAGGGTACTGTATGTCTGGAACCACATCTTTTACAGACGGTACCAGATCACGGATTTTATGTGTTGAATCGGACCTGGATCTTGTGTCCTGATTAAACACAAGATCCAGGTCCGATTCAACACAGTACATAAAATCCGTGATCTGGTACCGTCTGTAAAAGATGTGGTTCCAGACATACAGTACCCTGGCGTCTACAAACTAAGTTGCCTCTGTGGTAGCAGTTACATTGGTGAAACCAAACGACATGTCTCGGACCGCATCCGTGAACATAAAGCTGACCTGAAACACGGTAGGACTAACACCTCAGCCGTGGCAGATCACTGTTACAACTCAGTGGGCTCACATGATATTGACTTCTCCAAGACAGAGGTTCTCTGCAAGCCATCTGGCTATCATGAGAGATTCGTTCATGAGGCGATCCACATATACAAACACAGAGACAATTTTAACCGAGAAGATGGATTCTGGCTCAGCAATCATTGGAAGGACGTAATAAACCATTTCGATACACATTAGGGTGTGTAGAATAATACATAGTGTGATATTAAATGTATAAGATATAGGTTGGTTTACAGCAATACAGTATATAATTTAATGTTGGGTTTATCTATGGCAGTATATAGTACGGTATATGCTCGTGTGATGTAAGAGAATAAGGTTTAGATGGAAGCATATTATAGAATTTTTACGAGGTAAAATTGTAATGTATTACTTGCTGTTAGTAACTCAGCTTATTATAGAGTATAGTAAGTATACTGATGGTGCGATGCAGTTTATACTTTAGTTTTTTATGTAGTTTATACTTTAGTTTTCTACGTGGTTGTTGAGTAACTGCAGCTACATATCATTAACATTCCTTTCCTTTGTTACTGCTAATCCCTGCACCCCCCTTGGTTGCTGCTGATCCTGCATAATGCATGGGCATAATATGACTTTGACACCCCCCCGCCCAACGCCTACGCATTTTCCATGAATATGCTAAATCCCTCTTCACATGCACATTCTTTTTGTTAAGGCGCTCTTCAACCCCCAATGCAGCTTATATATAAGCTCCTAGTTTGGTAGTGTCTCATTCTTCACCTGAAGACGGCTGCTTGCGTTGTAGCCGAAACGTCGTGAGAATTGTTTTATTATGTTTTATTTTTATTATTTTATTACTTCCCTTCTACGTGACTTTACCGAAAGAAACAAGAAGATGACTGCCACCATCCTTCAAACCCATTATTGAAAAAGAGCAAAGTTTTTGTTTACATTATAATATAATGTTTATGCGAGAGCCGGAGGCTTATGAGACCCCGGGGTCTCGCCATAAGGTCCATATGGGTGAGCGAGTACACTGTAAGAACGATTACACTGGTCAACAAAAAAAAATTCTGGCCTGGATTTTTGCAGCTGTTTTAGACTAATTTCAGGGTGCTGATTCCAAATCTGGCATCAGTTTTGAGATTTCAAATATTGCATTTTCAATAAAAACAGCAAATTTATGATCATTTACAAATAGCTAAACAGACATCCATACAAGAATAAGATAAGATACAATATACAATAATAATAAAAACCGTTGGAATACCCTATGCCAAAAAAGTGTGTTGACCAGTATAATCCTTGCCAAGACCTTTCCCGGCACACTGAGGAGTGAGATGCCCCTGTAGTTGTTATAGTCTGTGCGGTCCCCCTTCTTAAAGAGAGAGACCAATACACACACACATACACACAGTGCTTAAAAAAAGTGTTAACAGTTACATGGGACTGTCGTTTTTTACGGAAAAAGAACAGATAATATAGACTCTAACATGATTACAAATGTGATGTCAATAGATTCAAGAAGTCAGAGTCTCCACTTGTTCGCCATCATTGTCGACGCGTGCCTGGGATCTTCTGCAGGTGGTCTCCACAGCCCGGAGGCACATTTCTCGTGGCGTTGTTGCGAATTATCAGAAGTGTTGATTTTTTTAAGCACCCTGTAGAAATGTCGTGTGATATCGCTGTCTGGTGGACAGCAGCGGCAACTGCGGTAGACAGACAGCGCACACGCTGGTGAGGGCGTGAGCACGGCTGTGAGTTGGCAGAGCGGAGGAACTGGGGCAAGGGTCACGGAGGACCCCATCTGGAGGCGCCTGGAACCTGCTCGTGGATTCGAGAAGGGAGGCGGGGCCAGGGCGGGGCCAGGGCAGGGTCAGGGTGGGATCAGGGCGGGGTCCGGGTAGGGTCAGGGCGGGGTCAGGGCCACGCCAGGTTGTATTTATTCGTTCTTGAAAATTAGAAAAATAAGTTATATGAAATTTTAAAAAGCGTGTAATTGTATACATTTATGCTAATTTGTGTAATTATGCAAATTCTAATTTATGCCAAATATGAATATGCATTTGTATGAAGCTATGGAAGTGTATGTAATTATGCTGATGTATGCAGTTATGATAATTAGGCTTGGCTTCGTTGCCTAAGGTTGTATTATCAATCGGGATAATACAATGAAGGTGTAATTGTATGAAGTTATTGCAAGTCTATGCAATTGTGCTATTTAGGCTCGGTTTCGTTGTCTAGGGTTGTATTATAAATCAGGATAATACAATGATTCTCGCTCTAACTTTTACTGATTATGTTTTAGTGTGTTTGTCAGGTCTCAAAATTCAAATCTTACCACAGGAAACAGTTCTTATAATTAACATTATTATGCATGAACTTATGAAGGCACCACTCAGACTCTTCTGTGTTAAGCAACTTTAATATCTAAAAAAAACATCACATTCTAATATGCGAACTCTTATGCTAGGAATGTCAACTCAGTACTCCTGGAGATGTCCACCTCATTGATCTGTACTATTAGCCCTCAGTGGTTACGTTTGTTAAAATGGGTAACAGAGCAATCGGCTAATTCCTCAGAGTAAAGCGACCGTACATGGCGACAGAAAAAGTCCATAAAAATTAATGTGACAATATTCATACGAACAGTAATAAGGCAAGATTATGCAATTAACGAAATGTCTTGGAGCAATGGTACGCGGCAGTGTGCCTGCTTGTCTAACAAATGCTTATCAATTGGCTAAGGGCTTCAATAAGTTCACGGGCAAGATTCTGTGATCAAAAGAAAGATCTTAACACAACTATCCATGTGAGTGTGTAGATTAGTAACATAGATGTTTATAAATGGTTAGTTTCATCAATTAATTCATTGGTACGGTTAGGCTATTAACAAAAAATATTGACTAAAATACTTCTATACGACCGTATCCATGTAACTCAATGGGCAGCAATGCTTTTCACGATCAACTAATAGTTAACGCACCACCTTGGGATGGCCACCCTTTTTGAAACACAAAGATAATTTAGGAGTAAACTTATTAGTCCCTATATGTGCGCTATGTGGGTGTATTGTCTCCTTGACCAACTCTTTGCATTAGGCAGACGCTGAGGTGGGGAGTTTCTTGTACCAAAATATATTTTTTTAAAAACTTTTTTTAAAACACGCTTTAATGAAATGTACCCTATTAGTAATGGCAGAACTCCACGACTCCAGGAAGTGTCCCTGAAGCTTGCCATAACGTAAGGGGCCGTGGTTATTTACAGCCAACGTCAGTTGAGCGTGAACAATTAGACTCAAGCCGAAACATAAAAAAAGATCGTTTAAAAATATGTATTTTTTATTTTTAATGATAGAATATAGTATTGTCATCAGTATGACATAAGTATACCAAGTTTGCAGTCGATACCACATTGGGAAGTGGGTAAAAATTGAGTTACAAAATTTGAGGATACGACAACAACAGACAGAGTGAGTTAAATATAAAATAAAATATTTTAAAATACTAAAAAAAAAACACGCTTTAATGAAATGTACTGTCCGAGCTGCCCTGCCCCCTTCCTCCATCGCCCCTCCCCTCCTTCCACATCCCCCGCCTCCCGGCGTGGCTCCCCGCAGCTTGCCGTGACGTAAGGGACCATGGTGATTTACAGCCAACGTGTGAGTTCAGCGTCGACAATTAGAGCCGTAAAACAGATCGTTTAAAAATATATATTTTTAAATATTAATGATAGAATATAGTATTGTCATCAGTATGACATACCTATACAGAATTTGCAGTCGATACGACATTGGGAAGACGGTTGAAATAGAGTTACAAGATTTGAGGATACGACAACAGACAGAGTGAGTTAAATAAAAGCGTGTTAAATGTTTAAAAATATATATTTTAAAATTTTAATGATAGAATATTATATTGTCATCAATTAAACATAAGTATACCAAGTTTTCAGTCGATAGCACATTGGGAAGTGGGTAAAATTTGAGTTGCAAGATTTTTTAAGGATACGACAACAGCAGACAGAGTGAGTTAAATAAAAGCGTGGAATAATAATACAATATATGATCTGTCTTTTGATTTAGTGTGCTGATCTTAAAGGTGCATTGAAAAATGTTGATACTCCGACTGATGCTCCTACTGTTGTGGAGTGACTCATGCAGCCAGCTATGGCTACAGAGTTTGGTAGTACATGTTGTTCACGTCGTTTATTGTGAAAATTCGGTCATAGTTCCTATGACCACTGTTTCATTGCTTTTATGGCTTTATTTTGGTGATTTTCGAAAAGTTTTTTGGTTTGGCCATGTTTGTTTGTTGTAGTACAGAATTAGACTGATGGCCTTAATCTAAGTTGTCTTGTGGTTGTTGTTGTTTGACTTGCATCCCACTGGGATTTTTGCACACAGTGTTGTTGTACGGTGCTTTTTCTGCAATATTTTGCTGTCTTTTCTTGGATTTTCTGTTTGCACATAGTCACTATAAGATGTATTCTTGTTCATGTTTTTTTTTGTTGCGGTTGCACCCGATTCAAGAGCCGAATGGCTCACAGGGCTTTACCTAAAACATGAAACTTGAAAAAAAAACTTGAAACTTGTCTCCTTGCTCAACTCTTTGCGTTAAGCAGACGCCGAGGTGGGGAGTTTCTTGTACCAAAAATGCTTTGGTTCCCTGCTGGGCGATGATTCGTGTGTGTGTGTGGGCTCGTGAAGGACGCTACTGGGCAGTTGGAGGCAGTCGCCCTCCAACAACAACGGAGGGCGGAGGAGCGACGCTCACAACAACGAGCGGAGCGCCGGGTGGCTAAAGCACAGCAAGTTGGCACAGTAGGGGGCACAGGTGGTGCATCAGCCAGTCATCTCGGTCATCTCGGTCAGTCGACCCGTGGCACCTGGGTCTGCCCCGTGACCTCCTGCCAGCGGGCTTTCGACACTTCACGTGGCCTCAAGGTGCACTTGGCCTGGCACAAGCATCGTGGTGACGTCACCGCCACTTAGTGGCGAATGGCGGTTGTTGTTGTTGTCATACACAAGGCGCTTTCTCTCTCTCTCTTGGCGGCAGCTGCAGGTCTCTCTGCTGCTGGATGATGCTCGTCTGCTGGTCGCTAGTGGCAACACTCTTTCTCAGTTGCGCCGGTCACGCTCTCTCTCTCTCCTTCTCCGTGCTCTCCTTTGGCGGTGCACGATTGTGCTCGCAGCTCCTCACTTACTCTCAGAACTCATAAATTGTATTCGCACATTTCCTAGCTTCTCGCAACTCTTATCGCTTAGTACAATACAACTTATCGAATTCCTTGACTCTGTAAGCGACTCAAAACATCAGGATGAATGTAGAATAAAACTTTCAGCGATAACTGTCGGTCAGCGCAGAAATCAGCGCCAAGCAACACATCGCCCATCTCCTCTGCAAGACTCGACATCCATGGTTGATTGCGGGACCCACTCCCGGAGCTTGCCGCAGCAAGACTCAGTTGCAATATCTGTGTCCCTGCTTATATGTGAAATTCTCTCCCCTCTGTGCGTCTCTTGCGAAAAAAAAACCAGAATCCCTGTCTCGTTCTCCTCCCGTGGCCGCAGCCGCCAGGTTGCCCACCCCCCCTTTAAACTTTGACTGGCTGCTTTCCATCACCACGTTCATGTTTTTTGTTTGCGCCCCCCCCTCTCTGCCTTCGTGGTGTTTGCTGTCTCAAGGGAAGGCACCATCCCATCATACGTATTTTATTTCTACCATTTATTGTGTCAAATTGTTGGAAGACAAAGGCGGTTTGGAGGCTCTGGTCTTATGGAATACATATTATCTTGGTCGTGTGTGATTGACCTATTTCGCCTTGTATCTCTTTTGAATTACCCTAGGGCTAATACTTCATAATTATTGCTCGGTTTATGTTTAACCAAGATTTGTGATGTACCATAGATGTTTCCACAGGTATTCCGAGGGTTTTCTTAGGCTTTGTTCTTCGTCCGTGTCGCCAGGGGTCCGTGCTTCTTATTCTCGAGTTATATTTTGATATCCTGAGGTTGGAGATATAACTAAGTTTTGACCTAAGCCACAGAGATACACAGAGACACTCACAGAGACCCACAGAGCCCCACAGAGACACCCATAGAGACACCCACAGACACTCACAGAGACACTCACAGAGACACCCACAGAGACACCCACAGAGCCCCACAGAGACACCCACAGAGACACTCATAGAGACACCCACAGAGACTCACAGAGACTCACAGAGACATACAGACACCCGAAGGTTACTTCAACATCCAGGCATGCATAGGTGCTGCTGCTGCCCGTAACAGCACTTGTCCCAACGGTCTGTTGATGCTACACGAGGGTTACATTTTCACTTAAAACTTTCGTGACTGCAAGAATTAATATGCTTTGGTTCTTTCGGTAAAGTCACATAGACAAAAAGATACAATAAGAAACAATATATGAGGTAGATAAGGGTAAAATAAAATAAGTAATGATAAAAGCCACTAATGTAGACTGCTGTTTGGTTCTTAATCTGAGAGTGTACTGGCAGTCTATAATGTCTATTTATCCTTGTTGCTAAGTTTCAAACTTTTACCGTTGTAAAAAAAACGCCAGTTTTAAAGTCCATTTGCCCTGTGGCTCTCGCCGTCCGCGGAGAGCTGACTGGGGTGGTGTAAAAGTCTGTGTCAGCAAGTTTCGATGTGAGACCAGGCTGTTTCTCCAGATTCCAGTGGATCTGGAGGATTTGTTTGGGAAACTGTCCAAAACGTCCGTGGAGGTCGTGCCTTATGGTCCTTTGCCATGTGGAGATTCCCAGATTCTCACTAACCTCCCTTTGCCCCGGGGCTTTATTACATGTTATGGCTTATCTCCAGCTGCCTTCTTGTGTGGTTTGTGAGAGGCAGTGGGGTTAAGATGTTTTGTTTCAACTCTTTTTTTTGCTACACTCCGATTTATTATAAAAAAAATATTGGCAGAATTATACTTAATATACATTTTTGGGAAAAGGCCAAGATATACAACACCATGTAGCGTAAACGGAGCCGAGAGTGGGGAGCTCGAGACTGCCGGTTCTGGGAGTGGACCCGTCTCGTCGTCGCTGTCGTCTCGTCTACGTCATCGCCAAACGTCTCCGCTGGACGTAGCCCTACGAAGGAGAGCAGTTGGCCGTCTCAGAGTCGGCGCCGTCGGTGTTAGACGGCCAGGGCTGTGTACGGGCGAGGCTGAGCTATCCTGGGGAGTGTGGTGTGGACGACGACCGTGGAAGTCGTGGTGAATAAAGAAGGTGTATCCTATAAATTCTGTCTCCGAATCGTTGACACTACACACACACACTGGGCTCTTTGCAGTGAATTGGCGGTGTACTTTTAGACACTTGGTTTGTTCCAGTTTTGCCACTGCTGGTCACAAAATGAGGGCACGAGTGGAGCGTGACCATTGAGTTGGCCTTCCCTTCGTGCCTTCGACGTCAGGTTAATAGTTCTAACGCACTCTGTGTGTTTGTGTGCAACGCAGATAGAGTACGAATTTAGGCCTGAGCCAAGTAAGCTACAGCGTAGGGCCTCGACTTATGAGGCCTCGAAATACAACAAACAACCTTAAAGTATAGGACAAAGCTTTAAGTTGTCTGTGTTCTGTGCGTTGAACGTCTTTGGCACCGTACATAGGCAACCGTGCTACTCTTTGGGCGTCAGTGGGTCTGTGTATCTCTGCGGGTCTCTGGGTGTCTCTTCGTAGGTCTCTGAGTGCCTCTAAGTCTCTATAGGTCTCTGTGGGTTTCTATGGGTGTCTCTTTGTGGGTCTCAACGGCTCTCTGTGGGTCTCCATGGGTCTTGTGCATTTTTGTGTCTCTGCAACTCTGTATTTCTATATCTCTGTGTCTCTCTGCGTCTCTCTGTATCTCTACGTATCTCTGTCTCTGTATATCTCTTTGTATCTGTGTGTATCTCTGTGCCATTGTATATTTGTGTATCTCTGTGTGTGTGTGTATCTCAGTGTATATCCGTGTCTCTGTGTATGTCTGTGTCTCTGTATTTCTCTGGCTATCTCTGCAAGTCTCGCGCACATTTTAGAGCCTTCGAAATGCTCCTGCGAATTGTCCGCGTCGTCCGCGCGGTTTCAGCCACAATTGTTCGCGACAGACGGGCCGCTCCTGGCAATCGAACGACAACACAGGAGCTCAAGCACACGAGGGCTTGCAATCTGGTGTAAAACAACAACATCGACAACAATGAAATGGCGTAGTATCTTCGAGAACACGCGTCCTCTTTCTTTTCAAAGCGTGGACGGGTGCCTCCGTCTCTCTGAGGTGGTGGTGGGCGGGGCGGATTTCAAGGATCCCTGTCGGGGAAGACGTCACAAAGGAGGTCGCGGAGCTTCTGGTAGGTGTCGCGGGTCTGCCACAGCGCCTCCCACACGGGCTCCGAGATGCCCGCGCGCTTCTCGAGGATGCGCTCCACCAGCTGGCTGGCGGCCTCGAATCCGCCGTTGCTGGAGGAGACCGCTCGGATTTGCTGGAGGTGACAGAAGACACCAGCAGGCGGCAGCAGCAGCAAGCTCGTGGAGCAGGTCACGTGCGTTGCACTCGTGTCAGTGTGTAAATGTGTGTGTGTGTGTCTGTCTGTGTGTGTGTCTGTGTCTGTACGATCAGCGGAGTGGTTGTGTAGTAGTGGTCAGCGCTACGCTGTGCTACGAACCCGGCGACCTGAGTACGATTCCAGCTCACGGCCAACACCGCCTCGCCTAGGTCGACTCAGCCTCAAATGAGGACCTGGTGCGGTGTGTAGTAAACATCGTCACTAGGGAGACAAAGGCGGCCGGGCGTGGTGCTGGCCACCCACCCCCTCATGTGCCGTTCCGGCCTCCATAGATGCTTGCTAGACTCACTTAGTCGTGAGTAGTCTGTCACACACTAGACTCACGTTATAGTGAAGAGTCTGTCACATGCTAGACTCATGTTGTAGTGAGTAGTTTGTCATGCAATAAACTTGTGTTGTAGACTGAAAATCCGATAGTGTGAACTTGCATTAAACTGCAACTCACTGCACATTGACAACGTTCTATGCTGCATTACAATGACAGACACGTGTACGGTAGGCCCCGGCGACGAGACACGTACTGAGATCTCTGGCTGCGTCAATATCCCTTGCGCAGAAAATTCATTGAGCAGGGGCGTCAGGTTGCCTTGCAGAGCTCCCACCAACGTGGGCAACTCCGATCTGATCTTGTCAAAGAGATGCTCTGGATTTTGGGGGCCGACGCGTCGACTCTTTGCAGCTTTGGGGGCTTCGGGAGCCGTCTCCTTGTCTTGGGATGCGAGGTGGGAGAGAAGGGTTGACATGGCAAGTGTTTGTGAGATGAGGAGTTGCGAGTTTTTGCTCTCACGGCCCACTCAACGGCACCCCACACCACACCCGCTTTTGAACAACTCAGTGGCTATGAGATGTTAACTACCTCGCCTGGTATGCAGGAGGTCGTGAATTTGAACCCGGACCCTGGCGCCACAGAGGCTAGGAGATGTTAACTACCTCGCCTGGTATGCAGTTTAATGGGTTTGATCCCGGACCCTGACTCCACGGTGACTAGGAGATGTTAACTACCTCGCCTGGTATGCAGGACGTCGTGGGTTTGATCCCAACAATGACGATGCCTGCTGATGTATATTCCGAGGCTGCGTCTCTCTCTCTTTCTCCTCGAGGTGGTCACTGCTTGTATTTGTCTCCCGGTCCTCTGACTTTTCCCTTCCACATTTAGAATCGACGTCACCATGCGTCCGGAGTTTTTGGCTGCTGCTATTTCATGTCCACACGACGATGACGATAACGATGCTACTATCAGCCATTTCGATGGGCTGCTATCATTCGCGATAGCCAGTAAGCTTCTGACAAAGAGCTTCTACGCACCTAAGATATTTTAAATATGAGAATAGGTTTTCCCCTCTTTTCTGTCAACAAAACAGGCGTTAAGATGGATGACGCCTTTTGTCGTTTTGAGACAAGGCTCAAAAGAAAACTGTCTCTGGTGTGGACCAATCAGTTTCAAAGACAATGCACATATATTATCAGAATTTTTCGTTTGCATTCTGACCACAAGTATTGGTGGTTAATGCAGACATGATTCCTTGTGAAAGGTTTCAGTTTGGTGTTTTAACATCTTAACACAACTGTTTTGTTGCCAGAAAAAAGGGGAAAACCCATTCTCATCTTAGTACCTGCAAAGGAGGTCCCATGATGTAGATTTTAAATCGTTTTTGTACCATGTTGACTTAAAAGCTTTCGTGACTGCAGGAATTCATATTCTTTTGGTCTTTCGGTAAAGTCACGTAGATAGATTCAAAGAAAATAACAAAAAAAACTAAAACTTCGTCGTTTCGATCGCAACACAAGTGGTCGTCTTGAGGAAGACGTGACTTTTTGTACCATGTTGGCAGAACATTTCTCCCCGGTACTTTGTGAGTAAAAATAATAATAACAATGTAATTTTTTGTAAAGTTTATCTCACCTCGCCACTGCACCCTTCTCGTCCAGACGTTTTTCTCCTGCTGGCCCCTCTTCGTCAGGGTGAGGAAGACCTCCTTGAAGGTGCCATCGAACGAGACGTGAATGAAGTTGTAGTCACTCGCCGGGTTCTCCATCGTCAGTTCCTGCGCGGACGAACGGGCGGCCAAAAAAGAAAAAGCAGAAGAGGACACCATCGCGCATCATTGACGGTCGAGGGTTCTTTTCGTGTACCAGGCGAGAGAGCCCAAGATATCACAATGGTGTATAACAGTTTTTTTTTTGTATTAATTTGGGCTCCAGGGGAAAAAAATCTACGGGTCAATAACGTTTGTCAATCTCAACGCGCGTGGTTAAATCCGCAGGTCGGACGAACCGCTCGCACGGCTGATCGTGAGTTAATCATAGTTGAAAACGGTCGCTCGCTCGACGACCTGAACTCGAAATTTTCAACCGCAGATGGAAATGTGGCTCACCTGCGGCTGTATCGAATTCGTGGCGACGTCGCAGCTCAGTGCGTACCGTGTGGCCACCACCAGCATTTCGTCCGACTTGGGAGGAATATTGTAATACTCGTAGCGTTCTTGCTGCAGCTTCCTCTTCAGGCGCTGCGAAATCAAACGGGTTCACGGTGTTGGAACGCTCCCCACCCCTGCAGGCCTGCCAACCGGTGCCGACTTGAGTAGCTCAGGGTTTAGGGGGGGTCGCCGTCCGATTTGACGACCCGTCGTTTTTAACGACCACAAAAAAATGATGCAGGACGCCAAAAGGTGGACGAGCACAGGGGCAGTTGTGTAACGCCAATGCATCGGTTGCTCGGGTCGTGCGGCTATATCTGCAGGACCCTTTTTTCCGGTATCAATAACACAGGAGGTGTAATAATAATCTTCAAAGGCCAAATAGACACCGATAATCACGACAAGGCACCAGCGAGTCTGCATTAACCACACAATCATGTTTGCGGTAAAACGCATTGATTCTTCAGGCGGAGGGGAAATAAAACCAGAACACCCTTGAGGAAAATAATCCATGCAACCACCACGGGAAGAACATGCAAAGCTCAATTATACAGCATGCGACAGCGTTGGACTCGAAACCACCGCATACCTGCATACCAGGCGAGGTAGTCAACATCTCCTAGTTAACGTGGGTTTCAGGGTTCGGGATCGAACCCACGACCTCCTGTGTACCAGGCGAGGTAGTTAATATCTCAACTTCGAACCCACGACGTCCTGCGTACCAGGCGAGGTTGGTAACATCTCCTGGCCGCCGCATTACAGAGAAACGCGTTGTAAGTGTGACAGCCACACCTCAAGCTAAGGACTCGCAGTCACGTGGTCCACCAACACACGGCCATCTTGTTCTATGGTCCACCAAATCATTGCAACAGCAATAACTGCAGTGAATTCTTGATTATCCCTGTGCATCTTATGCAATTACTGGAATAACCGCGCACCTGAAATTTTGACATGAACTATTAAATCATGGATATTGCCTTTTGCCTAAATAATAATAAAACAAACCAGTTTTACAACATTGTTATTCTTGTAAATGTTTATTGCATGTGTTTCTCCAGCTAATCTGGAATCCACGTGATCGCCTCAACAGTATAGTTGCAATATCATTACAATGGGGTGGAATTACATTAATGCTTGATTGGCTGTGGCTTTGCTGTCCACTCAGTGGGGCAGAGTTTGATCGATGTCTGATTGGCTGTGGCTTTGCTATCCACTTAATGGACTGAGTCATTTCCTGGACGGGAGCCAGGAAAGTATTATCACTGAGTAACCGCGCAACATCGATCTCATATTAAATCTAAACAATACAAATTGTCCGCTGTGCTTCATTTTGAGTGATTTGTTCGATCATTTATTTTGTGAGTGTACATTTACCAAACTGTGCGACGGCAGGAGAAGCTTCGACGTAATTTATGCCTTTACTTTCGGCTTTCCTTGAGAGATCCGCGGAATAACGGTGACACTTTTGGATTACCCGCGACTCTTCAATTATCCGTCTGCTGCCCCCTTCCCTGTTATCAAGCGCGGACAAACAGAGACAGTCTCCCGTGATCGACGCTGCCGAAGGGCAAAACCCAACTCACTTCGATGTTTGCGTCTGCGTAGGGGACGACGTGCAGCTGCAGCTTCGTGAGCAAGCCGGGAACCTTGAAGATGAGCACGGCCGCGTGCACGTGGTACACGAGCCCGGGGAACCACCGGAGCACCGCTGTGAAGATCGACAGCGACGACGTGAGGACCCTCACGTGCGTTTGCGAAACGCACCGCGGGTCTCTCACATCGATGTTGCCGTCCCTCGCGTGGAGGACTTTTATAGTGGATGTGTGTTTCCAGCCTGGGGATGGGAGAGGGGTCGCAGTGGGCTCATGCTACTCAGTGACTCCTCAGCATTGCACAATAGACTCAGCACTGCACCATAGACTCAGCACTGTCCATTAAATGTGTAATGCGGTTGTAAATGGCCCTCCGGAGGTGCCGTCATGGGGGGAGGAGTTAGGTCACGTGGGGGGAGAGGGGTTGAGTATAGAAGGAGGGGAACCGGAAGAGGAAAGGGAGTGACGGGGAACCAGGAACAGAGGAAGGCCACGAAGGGCGAAGCGGGGTGTGGCGAGATCGCCACGAACACGGGGAGGAACGAGGATCGGCACCGTTGGCCAGCGGTGACCGACCCGAGGCAGCAAGGAGGGCTGCAGTCAGCAGCGGGGCTGCAGAGAGAGAGTGGGCAGCGGGTCTGCATACAGTGGCAGCCAGAGGGTCTGCACATAAGGGTAGCAGCGGGAGTCTGCATAAGGGTAGCAGCGAGTCTGCAGGAAGGAGGGGAGTAGATGAAGCAGAGAGTCGGAGGAAAGAAGAAGCTATAATAGCAGAGAATAGCCGGGGGCTACAAATACAGGAATTATAACAGAGTGCCGTGTGGGTAAAGACGAGAACCCGAATAAAGACACGAAGACAGAAAGAAGTGTCCGAGTCCTTTTATTACACTGGAGTCAGAAGTGAAACGGCATGGCGAAACAACTGAGGAAAAAGAATATCCCATCTCCGGCGTCGGCTTCATCATCGGACGACGACGATCTTCCTCCTGAGGTCGGCTTCACTTCGGCGGAGGGAGAGATCCGTGAGGGCCCGGGTGTCGAGGAGGTTGCCGCTGCGTCCGACCCATCTGCGTTGAAGGACGAAGATTTAAGATGGACCCGGATGGCGGAGCAACTGGCAACCCTAAAAACCGTCATCACGGAGTTGTGTGACCTTGTCACGCCAAGGGCGGCGTTGGAAGGTGATGGTGGTGATCGGCAGGAGCCCGGGTCGTCTTCGATGGCGCCGCCATCGGCCACGCGGCGTGAAGACGCCATCTTGGGCGTGGCGCACCACGGAAGGTGGGAAGCCGCCATTTTGGGGCCGCCGCGAGGATCGTCCGCCATCTTGGCGACACAGCATTGCGACGCCTTGCTGAATTTACCGCCGGAAGAGTCAGCGACGGACGGAAGCAAGCCAAGGAGTCGCAGTCGTCACCTTACAACCGTCAAAGAGTTCTCCATCGGGGGCGATTGGAGTGCGTTCGCCTGTAGATTTTTAGCGGCGGTACGTACGGCAAGGTGGACGGACGCTGAGGCACTGGAGGTGCTCCCGACTCTTCTGGATGATGAGTCCGTTCGTTTTTTTCGCTCTATAAAAGCTGCAAAGAAGAAAACTCTGCGAGGGGTGTTCGATGAAATGGCGGACGCGTACGAGCCACCGGATGACGCCCATCGCCGATTCGTGCAGCGGCAACGCGCACCTGAGGAGTCACCTGTAGCGTACAGGGGCGCCGTGTTGGAACTCGCTATGGCCGCTTACCCGGAGACGGAGCCTGACCTGCTGGAACCACTCATCTTGGGGAAGATGTTGGAGTTGTCCCGAGATCTCGGCATTCCTATGCCGGCGTGCGGTCACGAAAAACTCACGTCTCGGACCGCGGCCAAGTGTTTGGACGCCCAGTTCAATCTCCGCCGCTGGAAACAGGTGACGCGTGGACGGGCGGTCCTGTCGTCGATGGGGGGGCCGTAGGGTGGGACCCTACGGAGGCCGTGTACGTGCCGGATGCGACCGGCCAGAAGGAGTTGGCGGCTGCCTCTGCTCCGTGGCCGGCCCGGAGCGGGCCGGGGCCGCGGGCTCCGCCGCCGGTGCGGCCGCGTCGGGACGGGGTGCCCGCTGCGCGCCGCCCCGACGTCGACTGCTTCCGCTGCGGCCGTCGGGGCCACTATGCCAGGGACTGTTGGGCCCGGGTTCCGGGGCCGCCCCAGCAGGAGGCCTCGACAGCGGACGCCCCAAAGAAAGACCCTCCGGCACAGGCAAGTCGGTGCGCACCAGACACCCGGCAAGGCCCCACACCTCACTCATCGCCGTTGGTATGCGACGCGGATGTTGTAAAATACGGGAGGCCAGTATCTGCGCCTTGTCGTTCGATAACGCAGTGGCGTAAGCTGGCTCGGCGGGTTGTCGCGGCCGCTACCGGGTCGTCCACTGTACCGGGGTCGATTAAAGGGGTGGACGTACGTATTTTGGTGGATTCCGGGGCGTCCGCGACCATTATTTCGGATGTGATATTCCATCTTTTGAACATCCCACCGGGGGCCGTGAGGCCGGCTTACGCTTCCTGCATCGCTGCGAACGGGGGTAGTATGGGCATTGTGGGACAGGTGGACGCTAACATTTCTATCGGGGGTGTCTCGGCCTCGGGCGTTGTGTTAATTTCAAGGTCCCTGGCGGTTCCTTGCCTGTTGGGTACGGATTTTTTGGCTAAGATGCCCATTCTAATTAGAATCAATGAAAATTGCATTGAACTACCAGGGGGCTGGAAATTGGCGTTTTTACAGTCCGCCTGGGGGCGGCCGGCTCCGGTTGCCCAGGTGCAGGCGTTATCGGAAGTTTCGGTTGATATTCCACCTGGCTCGCAGATGCTCATTCCCTTACGATACCGGAAGCCGGTTCCGGGTCGGCAGGGTGCTTTTGGGATTTTGCTGTCGCCGTCCGCCGCTGTTACGGGCGGATTGGCACTGGTGGGGGCGCAAACCATTGTCCGTCCGGATCAGCGCCCGTTTTTGCAGGTGTTAAATGCGAGCACTGAAAGCGTGTGTGTGCCGGCTGGTACCGTTGTGGCACACGCCACTACGGCGTTTACGGCTCAGAGTGACATTCCGGACGGGGGGCTGGTGGGTGGTGTTTCACACGATGGAGGGGTGGACGATCGTTGGATCGCCGAACTATGTGCGGAAAATTCGGCCCTTTCCACCGAGCAGCGTTGTGCGATTCATAAATTATTATCGAGCTATTCCGATGTGTTTAGCTCGGACGATTTGGACTTGGGACGCACCTCACTGCTCTCTCATCATATCGACACGGGGGACGCTGCCCCTATCCGCTTGAACTCGCATCGGATGAGTCCGGCTGAGCGTGAGCATGTTCGAGGGGCGGTGGAAGACATGTTGAAAGCGGATATTATATCTCCGTCTAATAGCCCGTGGGGCGCGCCTGTTGTGTTGGTTAAAAAAAAGGATGGTAAATTGCGATTTTGTGTGGATTTTCGGAAGTTGAATAAAGTGTCGGTGGCAGATGCGTATCCCCTGCCGCGTATGGACGATTCTCTCGACGCCTTGTCAGGGGCTAAGTTTTTTTCAACGCTAGATCTCTCTTCGGGCTTCTGGCAGCTCCCCCTTGACGAGCCCTCGCGGGAAAAGACAGCTTTCCGTACGCCGCAGGGGTTATTCCAATTTAACTGTCTGCCGATGGGGTTGAATGCAGCCCCTGCCACTTTTCAGCGGTTGATGGAGTTGGTATTGACGGGGTTGCAGTGGGAGACATGTCTCATTTATTTAGATGATATTATTGTCTTCAGCCGCACATTTGATGAGCATTTACTGCGGTTGGAGGCTGTGTTTGCCAGAATGCGTTCTGCTAATTTGAAATTCAAGCCTAAGAAATGTCATCTACTGCAACGCTCCGTTCGATACTTGGGACATATTGTTAGTGCGGACGGGGTGGCCACGGATCCAGAGAAAACTGCGTGTGTCAGGGATTGGGCGACCCCGGCCACGGTGGGTGATGTGCGTCGGTTTTTGGGGTTCGCCTCATATTATCGGAGGTTTGTTCCGAATTTCGCTACTATCGCCAGGCCTTTGCATCTCCTTACTGGGAAGGGGCATAAATTTGTGTGGGGACCGCCGGAGGAGGCGGCGTTTCGGAGCCTGCGCGATTTATTGGCTACTGCGCCGACGTTGGATTATCCGGATTTTGAACATCCCTTCATTCTGGATACTGATGCGAGTGACACTGGTATTGGGGCGGTGTTGTCCCAGTCAAAAGGTGGTGTTGAGCGTGTGGTGGCGTATGGGAGTCGGGTTTTGTCTCCCGCGGAAACCCGTTACTGCGTCACTCGCAGGGAACTTTTGGCTATTGTGTTTTTTCTCCGCCAATTTCGACCGTATCTGTACGGTCGGTCGTTTATTGTCCGAACGGACCATGCGGCCTTGCAGTACGCTCTTAAGATGGACCAGCCATCCGGACAATTGGCGAGATGGCTGGACACGTTGCAAGAATTCTCCTTCCAAATTCACCATCGGAAGGGTGTGCGTCACGCTAACGCGGACGCACTGTCCAGGTTGCCGCAACAATCCCCTTGTGCGTGTGCGTCGGGGACGCATAGGTGTGGACCGACTCAGCCCCCCCCTCAGCCTGTCGCGCTGGCAGTGGATGTTCTCGAAACTCCGCTTACACCGGGACCGATTGATGGGGGACCGGCTGACGGGATTTTGCGTCTTCCACGGTCTGTGTGGATTCGGGAGCAAATGTTGGACGATTCTTTGGTGTCGTTACGAAAACGTACGGAGAAGGCGGGTAAGGAAGTCGGTGCGGGTGGTATTTCGGAAACTGCTCTCCGAGATGGGTTACTGATGTGGAGGGAAGGGATACAGGAACACTGGCGTCTCGTTGTGCCTGCGTCATTGCGCTATGAATTGATTAGATCTTTGCACTGTGACACACTTTTACACCTGGGGGTGCAGAAAACCCTATTGATGCTGCAACGAGACTATTATTGGCACGGCATGACGACGGATGTCGTCGGTCACGTTCGCGCGTGCCCCGATTGTGCCCGCCGTAAACCGCCTAAACGCCCATATGTTCCGCCGATACAATCGATTAAAGTATCTCGGGTTAATGAGCTGGTGGCGTTAGATATTTTGGGACCCTTTCCGCCATCAGCTAAGGGGAATAAGTATTTACTGGTGGGGGTGGAGTACCTCTCTCGCTGGCCGATGGCCTGGCCCTTGCCTGACCAGTCAGCGGCGTCTATCACTGACGCCTTTCTATTTGGGTATGTAATGGACAAGGGGGCGCCGGAGAGGCTCCTTACAGACCAAGGGCGTAACTTTTCGTCCAAATTGTTGGGGGAGGTGTGTGCGGCTCTTGGAACTAAAAAGATACGGACGTCCCCCTACCACCCACAAACGGATGGTATGGTGGAACGGTTGAATCGGACTCTGTCCGCCATGCTGTGCCATACAGTCGGGGAAAATCAATCTGATTGGGATTTGCATATCCCTGGGGTGCTTTCGGCGTATCGCATGACGCCGCACGCGGCTACTGGATACTCGCCGTTCTTTCTTATGTACGGCCGTGAAAATGTGCCGCCGATCAATGAGCAGTTGGGAACCGGTGCGAGGGGACCTGTTAAGCCTCTTCCTGAGTATATTCAGGACAACGTTCGGCGTGTCACTGAGGCGAGGGAAAGAGCCCGCATGGCTACAGCCAAAGCTCAGGCCAGGAATGAGCGGTGTGCCCGACGTTCGAAGGGGGGAGTGCCCCTGGAAAAAGGGGGACCTGGCCTGGCTTCATTGCCCACAGGTGCGGCCAGGTACCTCTCCTAAATTACATAAACCGTGGCAAGGTCCGGTCCGCCTCATTGAGGTTCCCAACCCACAGTCGGCGCGTGTTCAGGTTGGTTCGCGGCGCTGGTTCGTGCATACATCCCGGTTGAAGCCATACATTGCCCCGCGGCCGGATGCGTCATCTCCCGAAGTTGCCTTGCCGGGGTCTGTTGCTGCCGACTCGCCCTTGCCTGTGTCTGCTGACCTTGCGAGAGCGCCTGTCGTACCCTTCACAGACAAGCCGGCCGTGACAGCGCAGGGAGGAGGACCTTCCGCTTGTGGGACGCCGACCGGAGCCGCAGAACCCACGGGACCTGCAGCTCTTCCTATCCCTCCGCGGACGCGAGTACGGGATGTCTCTGGACGCGAGCGGGACAGTGGCGGGCCTCCAATGGCGACGGAAGAACTTGCGCCCGTCGCCCCTAAAACCCTTCCACGTTCCCGCTCGGCGGGTGGGCTGCCGACCGTCCGGGACGGCCCGGCTACCCGTACTCGTTCGAAATCCCTCACGTTTCGTTAAATTGTGTTGTGTTGTGTTCATTGTTATATTGTTCTTCAATGCTTCGTGTCTTTTTACGTGTTGGCCCTTTACACCCGCATTGCTTTTCAGGTTGCAATTCAGCCGAGGTCGGCTGGATTTTCTTTATGGGGGAGGGTGATGTAATGCGGTTGTAAATGGCCCTCCGGAGGTGCCGTCATGGGGGGAGGAGTTAGGTCACGTGGGGGGAGAGGGGTTGAGTATAGAAGGAGGGGAACCGGAAGAGGAAAGGGAGTGACGGGGAACCAGGAACAGAGGAAGGCCACGAAGGGCGAAGCGGGGTGTGGCGAGATCGCCACGAACACGGGGAGGAACGAGGATCGGCACCGTTGGCCAGCGGTGACCGACCCGAGGCAGCAAGGAGGGCTGCAGTCAGCAGCGGGGCTGCAGAGAGAGAGTGGGCAGCGGGTCTGCATACAGTGGCAGCCAGAGGGTCTGCACATAAGGGTAGCAGCGGGAGTCTGCATAAGGGTAGCAGCGAGTCTGCAGGAAGGAGGGGAGTAGATGAAGCAGAGAGTCGGAGGAAAGAAGAAGCTATAATAGCAGAGAATAGCCGGGGGCTACAAATACAGGAATTATAACAGAGTGCCGTGTGGGTAAAGACGAGAACCCGAATAAAGACACGAAGACAGAAAGAAGTGTCCGAGTCCTTTTATTACTAATGTTTGAGACAGTGAGCATAACGACAATGTGGATTAGGGCGAGAGGAGTCCGCAATATATAATAGTTTCTAGGTGTGACGTGTGAAACTGAGATGTTAACTACCTCGCCTGGTATACAGGAGGATCATGGGTTCGATCCCATACCCTGATGCCCACAGTGTCTATATGTTAACTCCCTCGCCTGGTATACAGGAGGTCGTGGGTTCGATCCTGGACCCTGACGCCACGGTGGAAAGGAGATGTTAACTACCTCGCCTGGTATACAGGTGGTGGGTTTGATCCCGGCCTTGTAAATTTGGAGTCTGCGTGTCTCTCTCTCTTTCTCTCCTCATGATGGTCGCGTAGATTTTTCTCCGGGTCCTCCGGTTTTTCCCTCCACATTTATAATTGACATCATGTATTGAGCATATTTGGCTGCTCCTATAAATGTCCACGTGCTAAGCCACTTTGTTGAACTATAATTTGTGATAGCCAGGTCGCTTATGAACAATTAGCTATACAACTCAGTGGGCTTTACCACCTGGTAAAAATAAAACGTAGTTCAGTTTTTAGTTTCATCCACAATAACGTTTTCTTTTCGTTAATATAAATGTGTTGCTAACCCTCCACCACCTCCCAACATAGCCAGCGAGCAAGCGGTTTGCATCCCGTAACACAAAACGTGCCAAATTTAGTAACTAATTATTACTTTGGCACTAGCTGCTTGTGTGTGCTGAACAGTGTAGCCACAACAACATTTACGCAATTCGAGTACGCAAAATGTTTATAGGTTTTAGATTGCTGCAGTACCCAGGGCCGTCCATAGGGAGAACAGGGGGAGAGGGGCCAAATTCCACCATGACCCCTCCCCCTCCCCGTGACGTCTTCAAACTTAACTCTGAGCAATACGGTGACGTCGTCGATTATTTACTTTGTTCACGATGATGGTTAACCTATTTCAACTAAACTATGAAACTAAACTTAACCATTTAAATGCCCCACTACTCTGTAGCTCTTTTTCAGAAGCGATCCGTCCATCACAAATGATAGCAAAAAGATCTCCAAAATTATGAGCAAACACAAGATCCAGGTTCGATTTAACACAGTACATAAAATGCATGATCTGATCCTCTCGATGACGATCGCTTGTGTTGTGATCGAAACGTCGTCGTTTTTTGTACATTTTTTTGGTTATTTTCTTTGAACCTATCTACGTGACTTTACTGAAAGAGCCAAAGAATATGAATCCCTGCAGCCACGAAAGCTTTAAGTCAAGATTTAAATGGTAGCAGCTCAACAAAGTGCACTTTGTCGTCGTGTGGGCATTCATCGCAGCAGCCAAACACTGTAAACGTGTCACACTGATTCTAAATGTGAAGGGGGAAAAAAACAGAGGAGGACATGGAGACAAATCCACACAGTGAGCACCATGGGAAAAGAGAGAGACGCAGATTCCCAATGTACAGCAGTCTTCAGGGTCGGGATCGAACCCACGCCCTCCTGTATACCAGGTGAGGTAGTTAACATCTCCTAGCCACCGTGGTGCCCAATTAATTTCGCTGCTTCTCATTTGTCAAGGGTCCCAGTGGCACTGTGACTCAAATGACTCGTGACTAAAATGAGATGCAACTCATGTAACATGCGACTCAAACGACTTGCGACTCAAACGACTTGTGACTCAAATGACAACGGCGACTGAAAACGACTCATGACCAAATTGGCGGTCAGCGAATGGATCGCGTGTGTGCGCTGCATTCGTTGTAACAAAGCTTACGCTTCAGGTCGAGGTAGTGCGGGATCATTAGGGCGCGAAGGCCGCCATCGCAGCCGTCCCAGTTGATGTCAAACGTGGAGCTGATGGGGACGAACTGCTCTTGGAACAGCTCAACAGGCCACTCCCTCCAGCCGTAGCGAAGCCGCCCGGCTGCGCCCACCTCGAAGATGAGATCGGTGGCTTTGCAGTGGAAGGTGCCGCCTGAAGAAGCGCTGAACCTACGAGAAAAATTTTGTGTAGTAGTGTCGTATGTAGTGTAGTGTTTAGTAGTGCATAGTGTCGTATTTAGTGTAGTGTACGGTAGTGTATAGTGTCGTGTATAGTGTAGTGTGTAGAAGTGCATAGTGTCATATATAGTGTAGTGTATAGTGAAGTGTATAGTGTATAGTAGTGTAGTGTATAGTGTACATTAATATCGCGTATAGCGTAGTGTACTGTATTGTACAGCAGTGCAGAGTGCCGTGTATAGTGTAGTGTATAGTGTAGTGTATAGTGTAGTGTATAGTAGTGTATGGTGTAGTGTATAGTGTAGTGTTTAGTGTGTAGAGTAGTGTAGTGTATCATAGTGTTGTGTATAGTCAAGTGTATAGTGTCGGCTATAGTGTAGTGTATATTGTAATGTTTAGTGTACAGTGTAGTGTTTAGTGTATCGTGTAGTGTATCGTGTAGTGTATAGTGTAATGTTTAGTGTGCAGTGTAGTGTTTAGTGTATAGTGTAGTGTTTAGTGTAGCTGTCCACTTATTGGGTTGACGTCTGATTGGCTGTGTCTCTGCTATCTACTTAGTGGGCGGAGTTTGATTGATCCATAATAGAGCTTTTTGGGTTAGATCACGTAAATATGTAAATGTGTCGTTTAAACCCGCAACGACCCGACACAGCCAACTAGTAAGGGTTGTCACGTAAATAGAACGTGGCCAACTCGTTACTAGTACAGCACTAGCGTATAGTGTAGTGTATAGTGTGTAGTGTATAGTGTGCAGTGTATAGTGTCGTGTGTATAGTGTAATGTATGGTAGTGTAGTGTATAGTAGTATATATTGTAGTGTATTGTGTAGTGTGTATATTTTGGTGTGTAATGTAGTGTGTAGTGTCTAGTAGTATAGTGTATAATGTAGCCTTACCAACGGTAATCCCTATTGAAGTATCCTGCCCTTTGTAGGCATGCATTTAGTGACGAATTGGCATGTTCTGTTTACGTAACAACCCTTACTAGTTGTCTGTGTCTGGTGGTGACGGGTTTTAACAACACATTTATATATTTACCCAATCTAACCCCAAAAAACCTCTTATGGATGGTATTGGTCGCGCAAGACTGACACGTGTTACGTTTGATTGATGTCTGATTAGCTATGGATCTACCATCCACTTAGTGGGCGGAGTTTTATTGCTGTCTGATTGGCCGTGGCTCTGCTGTCCACCTACTTGGCAGAGTTTGATATCTGATTGGCTATTGGCTCTGCTGTCCACTTAGTGGGCAATGTGTTCTGCTGGGCGGGAGCCAGGAGAGTGTCACCACTTAGCACGTGCATCATCGATCACAAGTTGGGTTTTGCCTATACGAGTGAATATAAAATGTATATATACACTACTATATACTACTATACCCTACAACATTACTACATACTATTTTTTTCCATAGAGTACAATATACTACTGTATTACTATATACTACTGTATTACTATATTGCTAGATTACCGTTGGTAGGGCTATTTTAATACACACAATAGACAGGAAGGACAAGTTCCACAGCAGATCTTTTGCCTACTTCAGCAGTTTTTTCTTGCTGTGGAAGGGCGAGAGGGGGGAGGGGCGAGAGGGGCGAGAGGGGGCGTGGCCATGGTGGGAGTGGCCAGGTGCTCCACATCGACGGCAGCCATACTCTTTCGTTCTTTTGGTAAAGTCACGTTCACGTGGTAGAAAAATAATAGATCACGACGTTTCGATCGCAACACAAGCAATCGTCATCAGGTGGCACAAGCACAGCAAGAAAAAACTGCTGAGGTTGTCCCACCTGTATCGAACCAGAGAGTGTGGATTCCTGCAGTCACTAAAGCTTCAAATCAAGATTGTATTACTATACACTAGGGACTAGTATGTACTACTATATTACCGAATACTAATATATACTATGCTATTATATACTACTGTAATATGAGGATGCACCCGGGGGTAACTGGGCGATGGTGATAGGCTCTGGCGGCCTCAGCCCTCAGCCAATGGGACGTCGAACCAAGGGCGTAGCCCTGGGGCTGTATAGCAACATCGAGAAGGTTCCAGGGATGAGGCTTATGATTGGCTGCGTGGCATCACGTGAGCCAGGTGATAAAAGGGGTGGAGAGAGACAGTTTGGGGTCAGTGTGAAGAGCTTGAAGGAGAGACTACGACTTGTGCCTCCGGCACGCCAGCGGCCACGTGGCAGGCCGGAGGCTGTCTCCCGACGCCGTTAGCCGGCGGTGTGAGGGAGCGAGGGAAGTGAGCGAACGCCACGCTCGGAAGGGAGTAACGGGAGTAACGGGAAAAGAAACCCAGTGTGAGAGAGAGCTGTGAACGGGGAAAAGAACTAATACAGACAAGACAAGAGAATATGATATCGTCCGGAGTGGGTTTATTACACTACTATACTACTATACACTACTATGTACTACTATATTACTGTAAATTACTATTTTACCATATATTAAAATTGCCCGATGATGCTGGATGTAATTACCAGTGAAACGTCGTACTAAATTTGTTTAATGTTGTGGATTCACTCTTCAAGACACCGGTGGGCTAAAGTAGTGAACAATTTGTCTTTTGTCAACGTGACACTTTTTTTTTACTGATTGGCCGTGTCGGGTGGTGGAGGGTTACGACACATTTATAAATAACGCGATCTAACCCAAAAACTTTATTATGACTAATATATACAATACTACTATATACTACAGTAAACTACTATACTACTGTAATAAACCCCATTCAGACGACATCGTGACTTGAGAATTATTCATTCGGTTTCATTCACAGCTTCCACCACATTCGTTCCTTCAGTTTCCTTGCTCCTTCACGCTGTTGGCTGACAGCGCGAGAGAGAGAGAGACTGCCGCGGCCCGCCACGTGGCAGGCTCCAGACCACGGCACCAGCGTGGCTTCCCCCTTCGTTCCTCCGCACACTGACCACATGCTGTCTTTCTCCGCCCCTTTTAATCCCTGGCCCACGTGATGCCACGCAGCCAATCCTCAGCCACACCCCTGGAACTTTCTCGAAGATACTGTAAGGCTCCAGGGCCGCACCCCTGGCTCGACTCCCCATTGGTTGCGGGCTGAGGCCAGCAGAGCCAATCATCATCATCCAGGTGTAACCTCACATTACATCAGGGCCGCGCCCCTGGCTCGACTCCCCATTGGTTGCGACTGAGGCCAGCAGAGCCCATCATTATCATCCAGGTGTAACCTCACATTAAATTACCACCCCTCCCCCCCCCCGGTGTAAAAAGTCTGCCGTCTCGGCTGAGAGAAGGGTGATGCATCAAACCCTGCAACTAAACATTTAGGGCGCTAATGACGCGCAACGAAGTAGGTTGTTAGGGCGCTGAACAACGCGCGGTCGAAGGTAAAACATTAGGGCACGGAACAATGTGCAATGTAGGAGCAACGCAACATTAGGGCGCATAACAGAAGGTATAACAGGCGCAACATGACAACAACGCTAACGAAATGGTGCGCGACTCCGGTCCCTCTCCTCCCATGGAGTGTGCTCGTCCTGCCGACTGCTCAGCAGGAGGGGGCAGCGGAGAAGGAGCAGGCTCAGCGTTCTCCGTGGACGGAACGGGTCTCGTAGGAGGCTGCTCATCGGGGGACTCGATGCCCTTCAAGGCCTGTGCGTCTGCGGGGGGTAGAACAAGTCCCCGCTGGGGATCAATCAGCGAGGCAAGTGGCACATCAGGCACATCAAACCCTGGCAGGTCAGCAAGTGAGGATGAAAGGCCAGTGCGTGGTTCGAAATAAGGTTTCAAAATCGACGAGTGCACATACCAACGACGCAGCCCATACTGGATGCGAATACTTTGGGGATTGCGGATTTCTATTAGTTTAACGGGCCCTTTCCAAGGCCTGTGCAGTTTAGGGGATGTACCCACAGGCACCTGAGGGCAATGGAGCCACGCCGCGTCGCCCACCGCCCAAGGCATGTCACGTCGTGACCGACGCGCATATCTCTCGTTCCGGGCCTGTGTGCGGGCTGTTGCACGCCTGGCAGTTTCTCGCGCCTCCGTAACACGCCGAAGCGAATCACGGACGTGGTCAGGCAAGGAAGGGGAGGGTTCCTTTACGGCTGTACCCAGTTGCACATCAATTGGAGGCACGTTCTCCCACCCATACAAAATGAAAAAATGGCGAATACCCAGTGGACGCGTGCGGGACTATGCGGTAAGCAGACAAAACGCCAGGTATGTGCAAGTCCCAGTCGGTCTGCTTTTCACTCACCGTGTGACAAAGCATGGCCGAAAGGGTATGGTTAAATCGTTCCACCATTCCATCCGTCTGCGGGTGGTAAGGGGAAGTACGGATTCTCTTCATACCCAAAGCAGCGCATACATCCCGGAGTAATTAAGTTATGTCCTTGATCCGTAAGTAACTTCTCCGGAGCCCCCTTGTCCATCACGTATCCATTCAATAAAGCGTCAGTGATGGACAAAGCCGATTGGTCGGGTAGGGGCCAGGCCATAGGCCAACGAGTAAAATATTCCACCCCGACCATGAGGTACTTATTACCCCTCGCTGATGGGGGAAACGGGTCGAGGATATCCAGAGCAACTAGCTCATTAATACGAGATACCTCAATCAATTTCAACGGCGGAACGTAATTTTGACGTGGCGGTTTCTGCTTCGCACAATCTTGGCATGCCCGGATGGTCCTGATGATATCCGCCATTATACCCGGCCAAAAGAAATCCCGCTGCATCGTGAGCAAGGTCTTCTGCACGCCGAGATGCATCAACTTGTCGGCGTGCAGCGCGCGAATAAGATCATGACGAAGGGATGTTGGCACAACAAGGCGTGAACGGTCCGACAAGCTGTCTGTGCACATGAGCAACCCTTCCCGGTCGGTAAATAGCTGCGATTTCCCGCCCGACAAGTGAGATCCCGGCCTTCCGACTTGATTTCGCAGTGGAGCCAACGAGGCATCAGCCGTTTGCTCACGCAGCCACACCGAGTGCGGCAAGTGCAGCGTG